GAATACATCTCGGGGGGGGGTGGAAAAAAACCCACACCAAAAGGTGATTTCCTAACTTCAGAAATTACCATGACCATTATTTAATGTAAACTGACAGCAGAGTATCTTAACTTTTTTTCAGATTTCTTTTTCTGAAAAAAATAATTCCTTTGCAGATAACAATAATTTGAGAAGATTCCTTAATTCATCTTAGGACTTACTTTGAACACAATTTCCTGTCTTGTGGTGTGGGCCTGATGTGAAAAGGCTTGTGCAACAGTGGTAGTATTACTCAAAAGTATGGATAATAAATGAAGATAATCTGCTTGGCAAGTGTGAAACTTTGCTTTTCAGTAAATACTCAACTTGATAGGTATTCCCTTTAAGTGGTTTTGCACATTTAAGATAAATGTCTTTAGGCAGAGTTCTACTGATGCCTTGAAAGGTGAAAATTCACTTTTCTTGCTCTTTCTCCTGAATTCTGTTGTCTGTCTTGACCTGTGCAAGAGTATCTCACACCAGAGTTTGCACTTAATCATAGCTTGATTGTTAGAATAAACATCCTTTTTTTCCTAGTCCACTGTCAGATAAAATTTATGTTCTTTCTCACAGGAAAAAAAAAATTAGAAGCCCTGGTGATGTGAGATCTGTGTATAAGCATTACTCTGGATTAAAACTTCTGCTGTACTCCAGAGAAATTTAGCTGATGGTGGTGTGGTATAAGAACCCTTCTTCCTGTATCCCTTTTCCTTCATACTGCTTAGTTGTTAGAGGCCTGGCTTCTTATTTTTGGACTACAGTGGCTAACTAGCTAGTCTGAGCCTCTGCCAAGTGAACCTTTCTGTCCTTTCTTCCCTGATAAACAAGATGGGAGAGCTTCCACCTTTATGAAAATTCACCTTTTTCCCCTAAGAGTGTGGTTATTTAAATGACAGACTCATATAATATGTGGGATATTAATGTCTGGTAATTTAGATTTTTTTTCATGGAAAAATGACCAGAAACCTAAATAATTTTCAGAAGTTGATGTGCTCCAGGTGCTACGTGTGTGTATGTGTATACATTGCAGTTTGCAACTGAGGCCTAGTCGATAAATAAGACCAGAGCATTCTATGGCATTAAATACATGCTTTAAGTAATCAGAGCAAATTGATTGTGTTAAATGTAAGAAAGCACATGAACTAAATATGCAGCTAAATTACATTTTGATTAATACTCTAGGTGAATGATTATTTTTCATATTGCACAGTGGTTCAGTTTTAGAGGAAAGATCAGTGTCTTCTGGGAAACAACTGGTGTCCCAGCTGGCAACATGGTACAGTTAGCAGGACGTTGGACAGGTGGTCTGGAACACTGGGTTCTTTCTCCCATGTCTCAAAGCCTTTAGAGGCAGAAAGTTGTTCAGGTACATGTTGGTGGCTCTTCGCTTTAAATTCACTTTCTTCATAAAATGATGAGGGGGGAAAAGAAGGGTCCTGGGGTCAACTGCTGGCTAAAAGGTAAAAGAAATTATTCCCACTTCAATGTATACTGAGGTTCACAGTCAAGATACTCTAAATAAATTACCTAAATAAATAATGGAAAGACTACTTTCAGTGCATCATATTAGCCCAGGTGAGTTGTATTTGAAGGCTGAAGGCTAACAAATACGTATTTGCTTTGTTAAAGTTTGAACTGTTCAAGGTAAGCAGCCAAATCCAAATACCCTTGTTACAGTCCACACAAAGAGCCCTTTAAAGCAGGGAATCACTTAAATACTGGCTGGGCATTTTGGTTTCTGGATAATTTTTATCCTTCAGATAGTTATAATTTCTGCTTATCTGGTCCATCTGTATGCTTTTTTATTCTCTCCTGTGAGTATGAGTTTAGGGCAAAGAAGAGATCTCTTGAAAAAAAATTTTCTACAGTCTGTATGCTTTGATTGATAGAAGATGTAGTCTGCTCTCTCTAAAATTAGCTTTAATGCTTTTCACATATGAATTACTTTGCAAAGATTTTTAACTTGGGCAATGTTCACAAAGGTAAGGTTCAAAACAGAAAGCTGAACATCATCTGTTGGCATGTCATCCTGAATTCAGATCCCACGAGCTCCTTCTGTTTGTAGAGCATGGTCACATCCTTGTTTTATCCTCTTGCTTTAAGACAGGATAATAAGTACAAAATACTGTCTTTTTGTACTGTCACCAGCCTACAGAGACAAAACTAGGAAACAAAGAAAAGGTAAGGTTTTTTTATAGAATTTGGATACTTCAGCTTCTGTATTGCCATGTTTTGAAAAGATTTAGAAAATTGTCATTAATTTTGAAAAGATTCATCTTAAAAGCCCCTATGATTCTTTGAAATACTTGCTCTTCCTCTGCTAGCAGGAACGTTCCTAAATAATGGCATAAAAAACATTAAAGCTCTGATAACAGAGTCTTCTATGAAATATTAATGTTTAAGTTTTGCTTGAGCAAAAATTTTCATAGAAGATTTGACTGATCTGTTTTTAAGATTGGAAAGATCATAATGACATATTAACTTCACCAACTGCACATAGTCTAAGCTATAGAAATCCACACCATGAATCTTACATTTATCTGCCTAAATTATTTGGTCCCACATCTGGCTTTCCAGTTATTCTATAAGATAGATAATGACTTTTGGACTCTTAGCTAAATGATCATAAAAAAGCTTTCTGTTCTGGCTTCAGGTCTGGTCCTAGAGCCTGTTAAGACTTTTTAGTTTGATATTCAAAGCAATTAATGTATCTTTTAGGCCACAGGTATGCTGAAGTCCAAACTTCGGTCTACCAATAACTGGAGCAGTTGCTTACCCTTGAAGTAGTGCAGTCAGTGTCCACTCCAAACATTTCTAAGGTCTGAGGAAACTGGAATAAAGTTCCAGTGATCAGAACAGGTCCAGGTTATTTAGAGAAACACTGCAAATCCTTAAAAAACAAAAAATAATATTCTTTTTATTGCTCTCTTTGATTTAGAATATCCTACACTCATATATCTCTTCTTTATATGAAGGGAGAGGGGGAAAAAAAAAAGGAAAAAAGGGGTAAGGGGAGGGAGACTGCTCTATGTTAACATTTTAGAGGTAACAGGATCTTGAAAGGGATTTCCTTCTTTTCATTCCGCGCTGCCCTCCATGTGGGTTTTAGTACTTTTAGCCACTTGAACACTTTTTCCCTCTTTTAGCTCAAACCAACCAGGTTAGATTTTTCTAACTATGCCCCTTTGGCTTTTCACCTGTGGGAACACTCACCTATTTCCTATTGTGCTCGTTACTGAATTTTAACTGTTTTGGATATGTCTTACAAGATGGCTACAGTACCAGGATGTGCTGCCTTCTCACTCCTGAGTGCCACAGGTCTGGAGTGCAATCTGAGCAGTGCTCCAAGCCCCAGAAACTTCCTTTGTGACCCTCAGCCCTGTAACTGACTGTTGTTGTGCTGAAAAATAACAAGGCATTATTATTAGCATAAGGCAACACAACTTTTAAATGTCTTCAATTGCCTTAAAATTGCATGATTTTTAAGAGTAGATTTTAGTCCTACAAGTGATTGAGGTCCTTCTGAATTTATTACTGGTGCTTAGATCTCTAAGAGATACTTGTTCAATGTAAAAGAGTGGAATAGCATCAATGGTGATGTTTCACTCCAATGGCAAAAGTAAATTTCATATAACTGTAAGGTAAGTAGAATTAAGGAATATTACAAGCCTGTGGGGACAGCTAAGGGTCACACAGTTAATGCTGGAAATAAACACACAGTTCTATTTTTGTGAAAAGGAATGTTAGTCTTATCTGAACAATCTTGCCATAAAGCACTTAAAATAAAACAAACACAGAAGAAACCAGAACCTCACAACAAAACTACTCTCAGCTGCTTTCATAGGTATGCTCTACTGTAACATGTTTATAAATGGGTTCTCCGTCCTTCTGATCTTTCTCTAATATTGTTTTGAACACATCTGTGTTTTAAATGATGAAAAACAATTCTTTTTTCCTTATAACAGTTGACTACGTGGAAAATAAAACGTTTCTCCTTTTCCTCCTAGCTTTGAGTTGGCCAGGAAAAATACAAATCATGCTGTCACCTCAAGATGTGGATGTGACACCCCATTTAGCTTTGTAGGGGAAAGGAGCATTTCAGGCAGTCAGGGATATTTTATGTATTCTTAAGCAGTTAAAACTCTATTGTGGGGCTTGCAGGGGGCAGAACAACTCAGGACAGGAGTTACACAGCTTCATCGGTTTTAATTACTTTTATGAAGAAATCACAAGAGGAGCCTTTTAAAAGTGCCATTGTATGCCACGTGCAATGTACTAGTATTGGTTATTTCTGCGGCAGAAGAGGCAGGACACCTGCTCCTGCTCGGAGCTGCTAAAGGCTCGCAGCAGTGCAAGGCTTTCCTCCGGTGTGAGGTGCCCCCTTCAGCTTTTGAAAGCTTTACGTAGCCAGGCGGGCACCCACGAAGAAACTTGAGAGGAATCCGTTTTCTAGTGCGTTCAAAACTGTGTGACCGGGTTGACACCTTCCCAGTGGTTAGAAGGGGTTTTTTCATTGCTGTGGTTGTTTGGGTTTTGTTTCATAACAGCCACGCCGGGCTAACAGTCTGATGAAGGTCTACGATTTTTTTCAACGCACTCCAGTTTCCCAAAAGGGATTTTCAAGTGTCAGGCTCTGATACTTGTTTAAACTCAAGAGTTGAAACTCTTGATAATGCTACAGGTCCAGAGAAACTCGACTGGAAACCACCAGCCCTCACTCGGTCGCCTGAGGGCGAAGCCGCTGTCCCGGGTCTGCCGGGTGGGCGCCTGGCGCGGGCCGCCAGGGGGCGCCCGAGCGCGCGTCCCCCGCGGAGGGTGAGCGGGGCCGAGCGGGGCCGAGCGGGGCCGAGCCTCCCGCGCCGCCCCCGCCCGCGCACCGCGGCAGCCGGACCGCGCCGATCCGCTCTGCCCCGCTCAGCTCCGCTCTGCAGTGCTCAGCTCCGCTCCGCACTCCCCAGCTCTGCCAGCGGGAGCCGGTGAGGATGCTGCGCCTCAGCCGCGGGCGGCCCCGCCGCCGGCAGCGCCCGCTGCTCCTCTTGTCAGCGCTGCTGTGGGCGCCGGCGCTGGTGGCCTTCAACCTGGACGAGGAGAAGCGGACGGTGTACAGCGGACCGCCGGGCAGCTACTTCGGGTACTCGGTGGACTTCTACATCCCCGACCCCAGCACGTGAGTGCCGCCGCCGGGGGTGGGGGAGTCCGGGCCGCCCGCCCTGCCCGGCCGGGGCCGGGGGGCTCACGGGCTCGGGGAGCGCTTTGGGAAGGAGCCTTTGGGAAGGCGGTGGGCGAACAGTGTCGTCCCGGCCACGGGGTGACAGCGCCCACCGCCCGCCGGTCCTCATCGCCCCGGTGACCTGCCAGTTTGTTTGGCAGGGTCAGTGTCCTGGTGGGAGCCCCCAAAGCCAACACCACTCAGCCCGACATCGTGGAAGGAGGAGCGGTGTACTACTGCGCCTGGCCCGCCGCCCGCTGCCGGCAGATCCCCTTCGACAACACCAGTAAGTGATCGGCTGGTCCCAGCGCAGCGCTCGCTGCGCCGCGGTCCCTTCACTTGGGTCACTTGGATCCGAGGATCTGCACTTGGCCGGAGAAATCCCCCTCCTGGGGGTCCGAATGCATGTGCGCTTGCAGAGAAGGGCCTAATGGTCCCCAGGGAAATAACAGGAGTATGACCTCCAGGATCGGCACGTAGTTCATCTTAATAACTACCCTTTCTTTTTCCTTTTTTCTTTTTCTTTAATGAAAGGTATTTGTGTCAGATTCCTCCTTTTGAAAATAGTTTTGAGTGTTCAGAAGGCAAAGCCCAAAAACCCACATCTCACACTTCTCTGAGTCTTGGAAATAACAGGATTTCTAGTCTTTGCTGTTATTTTCAGCAAGGGGCTTTCCGGCTCTTCAGATGGATGAAGGACCTCATGCGGCATGCTTATTTAATTCTTTTCAGAAAGCAGGAATTTTGTTTCAGAACATTGGAAGCTAGATGCAAACCCATTTAGGCACAGTGTGGATAGATGATATCCACTTCTAAAATCCCAAGACAGATGTTTCTTATTTAATTGGAGGGAACACACATTTTAAACAATTCAGGCTGTTTATGTTTTCTGTTGTCTCTTTATAGGTCTTGAAAATAATTTAAACCTAGTGTTTGCAGAGACTTTAAAACCAATTCCTTTATTTAGATAGACTTTGGTAGTTTGACCGTTAAGCGAGAGTTGGTATTCTTTAGGTTATATTTAATCTTAATATTTGTGGTTTATTGAAATGGAAACACAATATAACTCTGTTTTTTTCTGAGAGCACAAGTTAAATAAGAGAAGCTTACTTAAATGTAGCAAGTAAGCAGTGCAGTTCTTTACCCCTCCCAGCTCGAGCCACTCACATCCTATTACTATATTAGTGTCTAGGAACTCTGATCAGGATGACTGTCCAATCACGCTGGGAAGTTCCTGTATGTGTATATGGTTACTTGGGCATATGAAACTATGTACAGCATATTGTAATATATATAAATGTAAATGGGCACAGACAGTATGCATGCATTATTTTTATTGTAATATGCCCTGAGTGTACATATTTTAAATAAAACCAGGAAATAGAGAAAATATTCATGTATTTCCATCTATGATTAGATAGTTCATGTAACAAAAATGGAATGTTTTATCTATACAAACGAATTGCAGGTTTGAATAGAAAACTTACAGACCAAATGAAAACTCTGTTGTGTTTTCAAAGAGGCATTTTTGAAAAATGAATGAAAATCTATTGATGAAACATACAAGGACATCTAACCTTCCTGTGGGAAACTCAGAACAACTCTATACTCTTGACAGAGATGTCCTTTTGCAGATACTGTGTTTTGAATAAAGGCACGAGCAGACTGATAAGTACATCAGTAAGGCTTTGGACTGTATCACACAACTATTCAGCTTGGAATCTCCAAAGCGTGGTTCATTCAGTCTTCCAGAGATGGCTGTTTGTGTCCTCTAGATACAATCCTGACTTGTAGGCAGCTGAAGTTAAGCCAGAAGGAGCCCATTGTGTAGATAAAAGTGCATGGTCCTTAGAGAAGGGGCAGCAGCATAGGCAGGTTTAGCGGTGTTGTCATTGGCTGTCTAATTCCAGTTCTAAGGGCAGTTAAGGTGTCATTTCACACAATTCAGCAGTGTCCAGCTACCTTTATAGACAGGGACCCCAGGAAGGTTTGCATAGCTTGTACCAACCTCTATTCTACATTGCCGACAACAGAAAGACCATCTCCAGTAGGCCTTAGATGACAGGTTTTGCTGATGTATGGATGTGTTTTCATGTAATTTTTTTTCTCTCCAAAATCCACTATTTACAGGAGCAAATTTTCCTTTTTTCCACTTTTCCCCCAAGCAGGCATATAGTCCACATGAGCTCTATCCTAGATGAAACTATTTCAAATAGTCTGTGGCACACAGTTCCTTTTGAAGCCTTTAACCATTTTATGCCTAGTGGGACTTAGTCCTTAGTAAATGTGGAGAGTGTTTTCAGTTCATGGCCCTTTCTTGTACAGGCATCTTCTACTCACTATGTGTTTTCCCTACAACATCACTCATAAATGTTGCTATTCCCATTTCATATTTATATTCCATTTTAATACTTATTCTAGTAAACAGAGTCATTCTGGGTAGTCAAAGATCATACAGGAAGTTGGTGATGATACTGATAATTGACTCGAGATTTTTTCCGTCTTCCTCCTGTTCCTGAACCACAAGATAATTCTTTCTTCCAAAGCAGAAACACCCAGAAGTTGTTAGAAGACTGAAAATTCAGCTCTAGCAGCTTTAATTTTAAAGATTAATGCTTCATGCCTCATAGGAGATCTTTAAAAGTCTTTTAAAGCTTTGGGAATGTTTTCTGAAACAAAACAGAAAAACGACAGAGGCTGATACAAGGCTGGAAGATTTCACTTTAATGCATTTTTATACAAAGCTTCCATTTTTAAGTACTTTTTTCTTGACTCTAAATAATATCAGCTCTTTCAGTTAGACTTGCTAAGCACGATAAAAGAAACAAAACTGCTGAATAATTGGAAGCATTCTAAATTAAGTTCAGACATAAAAACTAAGTGGAACTAGAAAGAAAGGGAGAGTATAATAGAGAGAGAATTTGTAGATAAGTAGATAAAGAATTTGTTAAATCAGTATTTTTCAGCCAAGAGTTCAATGGAGGACTTCTAAAGAATTTGTAAAAGTAAAGCAGATATATACTGTATCCAACGTTGGAGGTGTGAAATTGCTTCAGGTAACAGAAACTGTGAAATTTCCACTATAACATAAAAATTCAAAAGATTCAGTCCAAGAGATTGACAACCACTGGCTTAAATTGCATATGAGCATGAGGGCTCATGTCTTCCGTTTCTGCAGACTGGAGGCACAAGTGAAGCTCAAGTATGTTACATTCAATGCAAGTTGTGTTCATACTTCTACTGCCACAAATAAGTGTGCAAGTGGGCATCTAATTGGTAAGAAATGTGTAGCTGTACAGATTATTTCACTTTTTCCACAAGACCAGTAGACCTAATTTCAAGAAAGGTTCATTTTTTTTTGCATATACTTTGACGTTATTTATATTAACACAATATCTCTGTCCTACTAATTGAAAATAGTGAGAACACTGACTAGTAACATGTGATGGTTTAAGTCAAGATTCTGGACATTTTCAAATATCATGGTGTTACAGATGTGGGGTTACTTTGTAGTAATTTATAGTTATAATGTGTTTTACAGATATTGAGGTGTTTATGTAATGAAAGGGTAGATATGCCTTGTTATGGAGGTGTAAAGTATAACAAACTAAGAAAGAGCAAAATCTCTCTTCACCAATATTTAAGGCTTGTTAAGAGGCAACAGTGAACAAGAACAAGCTCATGAGTCAGGGAAGGGAAAGAAGAAAAAAAATAATGTGTTGGGTTTCTAAAGTATATATTGCCTTAGACAGAGGGGGCATTTTTTCAAGAAGTGATATCAGGGAACCAAGTAAGTAACAGACACCTTAGTGAAAAATTTAATTGTGCTTAGGTTAATTTTATGATGTTATGTGCTGAGATAGGATGGTCTTTGGTCCTGTAAAGGCTGTTTTGTTGAGGAGTTTTATTTATATTGTCGTTGTTGCTATTATTATTATTAAAATAACTAAAGTGTTAGTTTAAAGAACCTTATTCTATATCCTATATGCCATGGAGTCCTGAAGGGAGAACACGAATGCTAAGCCTAAGTGAACATGACATTCTGACATTGGTGTGAAACAACTGCCATGTCCCAATGTAGATCAGGGATATGACACTGCAAGAATTGCACCCAGAGTCATTGGCAAGGTATAGCTAACCTACCTGTCACCACAAAGACTGTGGCACTCAGTCCTAAACTTTTTTTTTCTGGCTCATGTAAGTTTTAAATGACAAAAGAAAAATCCTTATGGTTTGTGAAGCCCTCTTGCTCTTTTTTTTCTCCTCAGAAACTAAGATCACATGAGGGAGTAGACATTGCATTAAATAACATATACCCAACAGGAACACACAGTGTTCACCCAACTCACAATGAAAGATATCAAAAAAACTTTAGAAAACATGTTATTACTTCTGAGTGCCATGTTCTACCTGTCAAACACAGACTGATGAGTCTGGGCACCTTAATACCGGCAATGATACTCAAAACCAAGAGTACTCCTGAAATCATCTCTGTGGTCCTGTGCATATGTCAGGAAGCTCAAGCTAATCTGAGTGCTGTGGGCAGCTGCATAACTTGTGCTAATGTGGAAATGCATATGGGCTAAACTACTCTACTGAAAAGATGGTTTAATTGAAGTTAATAGAGGTGTAGGAGTATCTGCAGCCATTCCAAAAAATCATACCACCTAACTGAAATTGTTCTACAAGTAGTTGTCCCAGATTGTAACTAATTTCTCAGATCACAAGGAACATATCTCTGTTCTTCATAGTAGCTAATCCAGAGATTTCCAAAGCAATGAGATGATTTAATTGCATCAATAATTAGTCCTATTGTTGAAATATAGTTCCTGAAATGCAACAGAGGGGCAGAGGAGGGAAGGAGGATAAAGTTTTGACATGCTGTAGGATTTGAGCCAACCCATCCATAAGCAAGTCATGTAACTGGACATTCCCATATGGGTTTGCCAGTGATATGGCCTCCAGCCAAGAAGGGGCTTTAGCAGGAACTCTGTGTTTCCTGCTATTGATACAACACTGACTCTGCAGTCCCATGTTTGCAGTTCTTTAAAGCTCCATAAGTCTGTTCGCTGGGGTCAAGACTCTGGGAAGAACCTGCCCCTGAGAGCAAATGGGTGCTTTAACCTGCTCCATTGCAGCAGGTAGCTGAGGTAAAGTATAATGGAAGGGCTTTTAGTATCCACTTACTTCAGGAGATACGGATTGAAGGGCAGAGACTCTTCTCCCTTGTTTCCCTGTTTTGTAAAGCTGTCTGGCTGTACTGCAGTGTACAGCTGTGATACTCTT